CTCCTCATCCTCCAACTTAGTCCATAAGGTTTTAGTGCGTTTCGTAGTAGTTTCACCTGTAGTGGTATAAGACAGAGCCTCTCAATAATTTCCATTGTGTGAGCTCTTTTTTCAAGACCAAGGTGAACCATAACCGTCACACGGTCCTCCCACCCGCGGCCCTTTCAAGCGGAGTCGCCCCTGGCAGGTTCAGCCCTGGTGTAAGAGGTTCTTTTTCCTTTACTGCCGCCACTATGAGGGCCCTAGGTCTTGGTGCAGTTATGGGGGCCTATCAGTCAGCAGGAAAACCAGTTTCTTCCATTTATGCAAACTCAAATATTTTCTTTAGCCGGAGAGGAAATGAACCCTGTCGGGTAGCAGGACAGTTCCGATTACCTGCCGTTGTGACGGATGAATGTGGTCGCCCGGCTGCTTCTGCCAGGGATTTACTTACGGTTTCCCCTTGTTGGAATAGCAGTCTGCCTGGTTTATTCCCACTGTAAAGGCATGAAGTTTGCTATGGGGTTGCACATCTCAAAACCTATACTCCAAGAAGCTGGGATATTGTGGGCTTTACGACTACCTCTTCAAAGTTTTCTTTTTCTGTCTTCCTTGTCGGAGAGTGTAGCCTCCCCCCCCCCCTAGTCTGTCATGTTTACCTGCGTGCGTCCGTGCATGTGTACGTTTGCCCATCCATTCGTCGCCGTTTTGTTGCACGCTCTCTCGCCATCAGCGCTTCGTCTTAGGCACTACAAACATCCGCATACTTTCTCTCCTCAGAAATCTCTACCACAACCGTATTAATTCTCCCTCAGCGAGTTCTCGCGAGTTTCTTGGCCGGCCATCTGTTCCTACAGCATCGCCATAGTCGATAGAGTTCTGTACCTTAGAACCGTAGGAATCCACGCTTGCCGACTTACCGTCGTGCCCGACGATGTTCACCGTGGCCACTGCGAATGCCTCGCAGACAGCTCCGTTGTCCGTGACGCGCGCCATCCTGTCGTCGGAGAACTGACGCACCATCTGGGTGAATCGCTCTGGACAGCCGAATTCCCGCATGATTTTTCACAGTCCTTCACGATTCCCTGCGTCGAAGGCTTTTGTCAGATCCGCGAAGGTAATGTAGAGATGGGTTCGCGTTTTCCCGACACTTCTCCTGCATCCGGCGGACAGCGAAGATCAAGTCGGCGGTGCTACGATGACCGCGGAAGTCGCAGTGGCTTTGCGGTAGGAGTCCCTGTTCCAGATGGCTGTTAGGGCGATTGAGGAGAACGCGAGCGAAGATTTTTCTGGCGGTGTTGAGCAGCGAGATCCCTCTGTGGTTGTCACAGAGTTGACGGTTCCCTTCGCGCTTGTAGAGATGGATGATTAAAGCGTCCTTGAATCCAGAGCACACACACTTAGCCCTACTAAGTGTCACGTGATTATGAAGAAGTCTGTGTTATTGCTGACGGCGGCGTAAAGAAAGTTGATTAAAGTGACTTGTGCCCTCTTTCTACCAACACAGACGGCATCGCAGTGGTGATAATGGTACATGTGTAGTCAGGGGAGCGGGTTGTGTGCAGCACGCGATATAAAGCGGCTTCATGTCACGTAGGCCAGTGAACTCAATCTCATTCCTAGACGGACTGACTCGGACAAGCCACTGGTGCATGAGAGAGAGGGGGGAGGGAAGAGAGAGTGGGCTTGGACTAACTCAAACCCAACGCCTAAGTCCTCACTCTGTACAACCAAACACGTTTTTTTAACCACCACGACGCGCTAACAGGGTGCCTCTGAGTCTTACTCATCGCTGACCAGCAGGCTGCAACGGCTCCTCCCGGATGCGGCTCCTATTGCACTCTGATTTAGGGTGAGATTCGGGACCCTATCCCCCGTGCGAAATTTGATATTTGTGGATTTAGAGAGCAGTTCCTGCGTGGCACGCGTAGACACGTACACCTTCCCTTGTCTTGACTTTTTTGCCGATGCCGAACGGAGGGTGATGTGGGGAGAGAGATAGTTATGTGGATGTAGTGCAATTCTGCTTCACCACAGACAAATTTGCGTGCGCCCTCTTGGAGTAGTAGTAGTAGTAGTAGTGGTGGTAGTAGTAGTAGTAGTAGTAGTGGTGGTAGTAGTAGTAGTAGTAGTAGTAGTAGTAGTAGTGGTAGTAGTAGTAGTAGTAGTAGTAGTAGTAGTAGTAGTAGTAGTAGTAGTAGTAGTAGTAGTAGTAGTAGTAGTAGTAGTAGTAGTAGTAGTAGTAGTAGTAGTAGTAGTAGTAGTAGTAGTAAGCGTTGTGGTCCACGAAAGTCAAACGATTACGCGTATGTGTGTTTGTGCCGCAGGAAAAAGGGACGTTTGGGCAAAATTCTCCGAGGGGCAGGCAATCAGGCATGCCCGGTGGATTTTTGTTACACTCATGTAGCCTTCTCTGGTGCGGGTGAAAGGAACGTTTAGCTGCAGCGAATTGCACACCCAACGCATTTCCCTCAATGTATCCTTGGTTCTGCCGCTCTGTGCGTGAATTTAGAGCGAAGACACATCGTACACCAGCATACGTGCTAGTTTGGCTATCGCAAACGACGTGGCTCACAGCTGTCCCTATAAGGATGCCATAGCAAGAGGTGTTCGGATTTGCCTATGGTAAAGCAGCCCTGCTCGACAACTACTTCTCCCTTACCCTCCAAACCCACAGCCCTCTGATGACGGCACAAAGTCATGACGACTGGATGTGGACACTGTTGCTGGAGAGGTTGAATCACGTCCATGCGTACCTCTCACGAGATTGTTCCTGAACTAGCTTCAGCTATTGCTCAGGGAGGTTTCATTCAAGAGGATTATCACTGGGGTCACATTATAAGGGAAGCACTGCAGTCTGACCCTGGTTCCAAAGGACGGCCAACATACATCGTCAGCCGGTGACCTTCCAAACAACGACTGTTAGCTGCCGGCATAGTTCTAAATGTGTCTGATGTGTTGTAACATGCAGCATTTACTTGTACTCCGCGGTTAACACCAATGACGGTTTCACTGTCTCCAAATGTCCATAGAATTACAGCGAAGTGTGACCCATGTCTTGCGGTGATAGTCTTCCAGTTGGCAGTTCATTCCCGAACACTGAACTCATCCTCTTCGACTTTATAGATTTTTTATAAGCATTAACGACGGCGACGGCACCAAATCAGACGAGGATTTGAAGAGATGACGCCACGGACTAACTTCCTTTCGTATCGGTGGAGTGAGTGACCAGGGCATCTGTGACGGCAACTTTTTATTGTAACGTCACCAGGAGGTGCCCTGATCAGCTCTGATGCTCAAAATTCGTGAGGTGTTTCATGAGCCGAAGTCGTAGCATTCTACGATCGCACCATTTGCTTAACATCTCGATCTTTCGGAGGTCAGCAGACCACTGCAGGCAGCCACAGTCACATAGGGACATCGCAGTGACGGCTGCAGCATAGGCCACTCGGAGCTCATCCAACAATGGTGAGTTCATTAACTCGGGAAAGTCTTTTTTGCCAGCGTGGAAATTATTCAGTAACATCACAGCCGCCATCATACCCGAAAAAGATAATAGACCTTTCTTATGTTGCCGATAGTGGAGGCTCGTACGAATTCCGGTGACCCGTTATTGGTTTTGGTGGGCTCTCACTGGCCGCTCAGGAGTTTGGATCTCCAGAGGTGCCGGTGGGTCGTTGAATGATGTTGGTTAGTATCCAATCTTTCCTGTTCAACTTACTGCTGGTTATGGGAATAAGCCCGACCTCAGTTATGATGTTCCTCAAAAGGGTGTGTTTTTATCTACACTGGGCGGTTCAGAATCATAAGTCGGAAAGATGTGGTTATGTAGCCGCAGCTGACGGACACAATACCGTTGACCTACCTAGTTATATTGAGTTGGTGTGATTACGTTGGCATGGTGTTGCTGTGCGTTGCGGTGGTGTGTTCTGTTGACGGCCTTGTTTCTTTGTTGCCGTGTGTACCTTTTTCGGCCCAATGCCGGTGGTCCTTCTTGGCTTTCGGCCTGTCGTCTCCTGCTAACTTTCGGGTTGGATGTTTCGGGGTTAGGGTTTAGGGCAACTATTTCTCAACCACTGAATGTACAACCACGCATTCCCAATAGCTTTTCTTTTGCATACAATTGCTTGACCTCGTTGCCTGTGCGTTCCCCGGCCCCACCTGCAAAAACCCCTATTACCGCCGATCCCGTATTACAGGTGGCTTGTGTTTGTGTACCTCGGGTGTGGCTACATAACCACACTTTACCCGTAGGTCTCCAATGAGACAAGCTATTTGCTAACTTCCTAGGGAATGTTTTAATCTGTTTTACCTGGGAAACTTTACGAGGCAGGGTGGATTTCGTGAGCGTTCCGAGACACAAACACAGCCGGACTCTCACGATCAAATGGTGTGCGCTATGCTGGTCGCTCTTTTTGTCTGTCATTTGACGACAGTCGATAAGCGCATTTGCCGAATGCTTCCAGCCAGTTTGTGCGTCATTTGAATTTCAAGTCGGCAGGTGTCCTTTTTGGGTTCATGAACCTGATGCCAGCCAAAACTATCATATCAACTTCACCAAATGTCGGAAATTGATTACCATTGTCACCTCGAGCTCTAGCGCCGCATGTATCCCACTTCCCTACAGTCGGTTGGACAATCCCCCCCCCCTGAAAGCGTTATTGAAAATGGACGTCTTCATCGTTACCTGGGTTAGGCGTGGGTGCGTAGACAGCAATTGCACTTGTGTTCTTAATTGCGGTGGAGGAAGGTTCTCGTTCCGAGCGACTGATTTGCTTTCTGGTGCAGCACAAGTGTGTCTTGATGGTTCTTATGTCGGACTCAGGTAACCAGACTTCCGACAGACAGCAATGTCCATAGAGAGAGAGGGTGCACATGTCAGGGTTTGGGTGTCTGGGGGGTCTTCGAGTGTGCGCACGTCCTAACAGGTACCACGCATTTCGACCTGTTTATGAAGAATGCCACTTCGCATGTTTGACATCCGACCCACTGATGGAAATCCGGACGCGTTGGTCGCCGTGGACATGAGTGGCATTCATGAAGTCGCATATGTTCGTGGATATTAGCTGAACTATGGTTTAGGCCATGTCAGTAGTCCTACCTGGCTTGTAGGATTGTGTCTAAACCATGAAACGACGGCGGCAGATGGAACCTCATTGAATTGTGGCAATATTTACCATGTGTTGTGACCTTTGCGTAGGCTACCGCAACCACACCTGAAGGTACTAACCCCGCCTGTTTCGCGACTGCTTGTTTTTCCAGCCCGACAGCCTGCCGGTTTTCCGGCCAGACTTCTCTGAAAGGCTGTCTTACTGCCCCTGACTGATGTACGCGCCGAGTAGTTGGCGGCTTGGCTAATAGACAGGTGTCTTGTGAAATACGCTGAATTGCCACGATGAAGGGTACCTGAGCGCAAGCTTCTCGTGTCCAAAAAGACCTATGTGCGACATTAGTTTGTGCAGGTTAAGGACTAATCATCTATTAATTCAACGATGGATACGCAGATTTGCGATCAGGACACAGCGTGGCTGGAGAGTCCGACCAGAATGCAGCCAGATGGGGAACGATGACAGTTGTCTTTTGTCTCCTGGCGGCATCGGACTTACGGTGACTGCGCAGGTGTCTAACAAGGCCGGACGTGGTTGACGCTTGCGACACCACTGAATTCATAGGAAACTGTTTCTTGAATGATTCTAGTGTTCCGGGAAGCGACAGACTGATCTAGAATGAGGTAACAATCGGGAGAGGGCACCCAAATATCCGTTGCCTAGAAATAATATTTGCTATACTTATTTGAGTAGGTTATGGCCCTGCAATCAGCCACTGGCACCGAAGGTGGCTGCTCTATTTCTGAATTTACATAGCCTGTCCGAAAGATCCTTTCCCGCCGAGGTTTTATCTCCTCATCATTGCAAATACGTCGAATATACCGGTCGATTCCAGAACTCATGTCTGAAATACTTCTCTGCGACTTTACCCCTAAGGGCAGCTTAAGAGGAATCGATCTGGACTCTGCGCATAATTTGGACAAACGGTCCAAAAATCCACCCCGTAGAGAATCCTTCTGAGGACTGCATTCCTGTGTATCTTCAATTTCGGATGGAGGGGTATACTTCGGTCAGTACTTACGAAAGACCGGAGCATTTCGAAGGTCTTGTCGACCTGGTTAATCGGGGCTGAAACCTCGGTGTCGGTCCTAGTGTTTCTTGAGATGGTTCCTTCCGTGATAGGATAATTTTTCCATGGTGATTAAGCGATTATCCTTGATAATGACTGAAAGTTTTGTAAATTCCGCGGTTAATGCTAGTTGTTGCACTACAGCTGTCTTCTATGTGTGGATGGTTAGCCTGAAGTTGGCGCATCCGGAGGCGAAGTTATCCAGTTCTCGTTGCATATCCGGTCATTTGTGATGCCCAGTGCATATTGTTGGCAAAATAGGCCGTTTATCCTGATCTTACACATTTTTTTTGACAGCGTACATAAAACGGATGCTGAATAGTTTCCTACTAGTTGGATGATTCATGTCAGTTCTTGGTCGCTCCTCATTACAGGCGTCTTTAGTAGTACAGAGAACACGAGGTTGAAGAAGGTTGGGACAAGTAGACAACCTTTCTTAACAATACTTGTTCCAACAAATGGTTTCGAGGTTGGTACGCTGTCCGTAGCCCGTCGTTAATGCTGTCATGAAGCTGCACGACCATCAGCGTGAAGCGTTGGAAACATGCAAATTTCATGAATTCCCAGGTTTCATCATGACTCTCGGTGTCAGAAAGTTCTGTTAGGCCTATGCGAGTTATATACAGTGCGTAACCGATCTCATGAAATGTTGGCCAAAATTGTGGAATGCTTACTTAAGTGGGGTTGTTATACTGATTATCATGCAGCATAACTCTATAACATTTCGGACTCTCCAGCATGTCGGCTTTCGAATGCTCTTCTTTCTGACCTCCTGCAGAAACCAGACTCGGTAAAAAATGACTACTTCGGTAGCATGTGTTTTTCCTATTGATTTTCGATGGTCCTATAAATTCAAATACATTTTATAGAAAACATGCACAAAATATGCTTTCTTTTGCTGATTTGGTAGAAAATTACGCTGTTTTTATATTTTATGCCCGAAGAAAGTGGGCATTTAGGTTTTCAGAAAGTCTCCCCATTCCCGAATAACTTTCAGCCTGATCTGCCGTTGCATCAGCGTTTAGCAATTTCAGTCTACAAGGTGCACGCTTTCCGCGTAAGGAAAATCATATATTCTTCTATGCCTTTAAGAAGGTATCACATAGAGTTCATGAAATTTTGCAATGGATCCGGACTGTGTTGTACATTTCATGAGGAGTATAAGTAAACGGACATGTGCGGTCTTGTATTCATGGGCAC